GGGCGGTGCGAGCCCCCGACCCGCGTGGTAACGTCGTGCCGCTCGGCCGGGCGTTGTGACTACTCTGCCCTGGTAACCACTTCCAGCAGGCGAGCAACAGCAGTGTAAAGCCCGGCTGCGTTTTATGTGCTTAACTCTTCAACATGACATTATGTGTCATCTAAATACTTGTAAATTAAACTCGTTTTGTGGGGTCTCGGTCCACGTGTTGCTCTGAAGCATTTTTTTCAGTGTTATTCAGCTCTTCAGTTCCTAATGAAGCTCTTGATGTGTGTGGTAACATACTCTGATCGCCGTTGCAAGAAAGAGAGGAATAACTGAAAGGAACTTAACTGATGTAATACAGAAAAACAACCGTGAACTTGGGAGAAGAGATTTTGGAAAGAGATTATTCCCGTGGCACCTGAATGGCTCAAACCAGAAATTATTTGAAATTAAATGTGAGGATACAGACAGGCGGTGAAAATGGGTTCTGACAGAATTAGCATGATTGTAAAAACACAGGAGAAATGTATCTTCTGTGCCTCTGATGTTTGGATGGGGTAAGGAGAAGCAAGTAAAGAGAGAAAACTTTAGAGCTAAACTTCTAGCAGCTGGATTATAACGAGCACAGTGTAGAAGAAAAACTGTATTTGTTTATGACATAAATGATAATTTTAGTTGAGGGTGAAAAGAGGCAATAGAGTTAGAAGGGGCCCCATAATCTCTTGAGTCCACCAAATATGCCGTGAAACATTAGAAGATGACTTCTTTACCCACACTTTAACAGCTGAGGTTTGTCTACCAATTCTGGAAACAATGCTTTAAAAACTGAAGACCAGATGCACATAAACTTCCTTGCATAGATATTCGATTGTTTAAGTTTGACAGAGTTGAAGCTACAGGAAATTATGCTGCTTTTCTGATAACAGTTGTACTGGTATAATTTCTTTCTGTGAAGAAACTTGTTTCACATACTTTTATGGATGCCTCACAGAAATAGCCTAACAATAATGACAGTTCATGTGATAGCTGCTTCCCTCCCACCCCCAGTTTATTAAACAAACAATCCATTTCCTTCGCTTTCTTAGTATCCATGTTAAAGTAAAAAACCTAGAATACATGAACCTAAAGAAAAGTACGTAGTTTTTAAATATCTCCTACAGGCCTATTATTTTTAGGGGTATGACTCTGAACTTAGAATGTTCAGCAGCATTATAATAAATTGCAGGAAGACAAAAGATGGTATTCTTAAGAAGGATCTTCTTTTACTGAGAAGAGAATAGTAAAATTATCCATAAAGCACTGGTTTAGTCATTAGAACTCTTATTTGGTAAAGTAATTGTCAGTTGTCCAAACAGTGGTTTGTATAGAAGTAAGTGTGATACATGATAACTGACAGTTCATAGCAATGAAGATACTACCAGTAAAGTTTAAAAAAATCTGTACCTGAAAACCAGTTGACAGCTTTTTTTAAAATTTAGTTTTTCTTTTCCTGAGGTTGAATACTTTCACTATTGAGCAATATGTAAAATACACATTAAGATATAAAAAGTATTTTATTTCTCATGGACAGAGGTGAAGGAAACAAGTCAAAAAGAAATGTCTATACTTTTATAAATGTGGTGGGAAACTTGATGATGAATAGACGTCCGAGATCTTGGCTTTGGGCCATCTCTGAAAAAGGTTGTCCCTTGAAACTATGGCACTGTGTTAACCTATCTTCCATTTGAGGTGGCTGCAACTGAGATTGCTCCAGTTTGTTTTGAAGTTTGATTGACTTTCAGGTAGGCATGGCACAACTGTCTTAATGCTTTAGAAAATTATAAAGTTGATAGTGCTATTTCATGCTTTCGGTAGGTGCTATACCTTCTCTCTTCATTTGGGAAAGTCCATTTTGAGACTTAGCATGAAATTAATAATGTTGAATGCAGTAGAAACTGTCAGATGTTACTCCAAATCACTGTAAGCTTTTAAAATACTGAGAAGGTGATTTGGTTCTTACAGTGGTATGTATTTTAGAATCTTGGAGACTGATAAACTTCACCTTGTCATGCACTAATTATACAATATACAGGAATATTTAAGGCTTCTGACATGGTGCCATCCAAATATACTTCAGCTTCTGACTTGCAAATGTTGTGTATAAAGAACAGAATTTTCAAGGTGCAAAAATCTTGACTGAGTTTGCAAAGACCTCAAAAGTAGGTGTCAACTACAGTGGTCCATCCCATAATTTGGATGCTTCTTGGGTGACTAGACATGTATGAGTTAGGGGTTTTCAGTTTGTGAACTCAGGAACTCAGGGATACTTCCTCAGTGTCTTCAAAGGTTAATGAAGAAAAAGGTCTTATTGACAATAAGCTCAATTTTCAGAAGATTGTGAGCCCACAGACAGAAAAATGTTCAAAAGTCATTTCATATATAGTTGTCCAGCCAACAGTCCTTTCCTTGTTTGAAAAACCTCAGTGCAGTTGAGGTTGTTAGGAATCTTGGTGGCTGCTGGGCTTGACTGTTTTGTATAGATGCACTTTAATTATAATTTGGGGAAAAAAAGACACACTTTTCTAATCATTTTAGTTCCACTTATCGTCCAGAGAAGACAGAGAAGTTTAAATTTCTTTTTAAAAGCCTATCAGCATCTGTTAGTCCTTTAGTACTTTTATTTGGCCGCAGATGACCTTGAAATGCACAAGCAGTGTTTTGTAAATTCCAGGATTTATAATTCTGCAAATCTTATCCTTAGATAAGATAACTGGCTTTCTATCTTGTTTGCTTCATTCCTTTCAAGTCTAAACATTATAACCAAGAAATCTGCCCAAAATGAGATAAATCTGTAAATATTTTATAAATGTGGTATGTGGTTGAGATGTACTCCTAGGAGTAAAATAAACCCCTTTGCGACTGCAGTTTGATGCCGCTGCTGTCAGTGTGAATGAAGGAGGAATCTCCTCACTTCCTGTCATGGAGACAGCAGTGCCAAGAGAGAAAAAGTAGCAACGCTGTAACACCTGTCACTAAAATTTCCAAATACAGCTCAAAATGCACTTGGTAACTGCAATTGTTAGAACGATGAAAGAGTTGTCTTAAAGTTGAACCTTGTTTCTTCAGTTTCTAATTTCTTCTTCTCCCATCTCTTACAATTTAGAATTTCAGTTATTGATGACTTGTATTTATGGAAACAACCATTATTTTTCAGCTTTTTTTTTTTTGTAACCACTGTTTGTGTGGCATCTGTAGGAGGGACTAATGCCCTGATTTCAACATAATCATGACTTTGTATGTGTGAAAACTTTCTGCACCCAGGCTTGCCCTGGGATAGCTCCAGACATGTTTTGTCACTGAGGCACACTTGGGTGATCTCCAAAATAAAACTTATGATTGTGTTGTAATTGGGTCATGGGATGAATTCTAAGTGGATTTGCTGATATGCTTAGAGCTGTTGTCTCAGACTACTGCAAGAACATTTATCCTTACTCCTAGTGTTGTTTAAAACATATATTCTGTGGCATGTTAGAACTCTAACTGCCTGTCTTATTGTTATAGAAGTCTGTAGTCACTTCTGCCCTCCTCTCCCATTTAGCATTCTTATGTGAAATCTGAGGAAAAGAAAGAACAAGAATCTGAATCTAACAGCAGTATCTTGCTGAGTCACCTAATTTGGGATGAAAATGAAATTTTGCTGTTTCTATCTCTTTAATGGCATCCTTTTCAATCTTTTAAAAATAAAAAAAACTGGACTGGGACTAAAAGTCCACAATCAGTTCTAGAGTGTCAGTTCAGAAAATTTCATTTATTCCTTCCCCAATTTTTAGTTTGAAAGGCTACAAAACAAGTGCAGCTTGTGACATGAAGTGCAATACGCTTATTTTGGGGGAACTTTGAGTTTTGTTATCTGGTCTGGCTTAAGCATAGTGTGTGCTATTTAACTGCTGACTTTGTTGCTAGGAGAGAATAGCAACTGCTCTACGTTTCACTGGTTTCATGTTGTAATGGGGTATGACATCAACAAAAGTGACAGGCAACGTTTAATAATTTACAAGCAGAAGATCATAGGAGTCAGAATTCTAAGCCCTGTGGATCTTGCTTTGCTCTTTCCTTGGGTAGAACAATTTCTATAAATGAAGTGACCCTGGGGGTTTGGAGTGTGTAGTTGAGAGGACATTAAATAGAAAGCTGGTGTTTTGCTTATGGAATAAATGTCTCTTTCTTTTCCTTAGCAGAAACCTAAGATTCATTAAATTCACCTGAATAAACATTATTTTGGAAGCATAACATTCTGTGGTTATATTGGTGGATAAGAGCTGAAAAGTCCTCACTCAAGGAGTCACCAGGTGTGAACTCTTGAAGGAATGTGTGTGGGCAGGAGATTCCTTGTCTCCTTTTTCATTCAAACATTGTAAGAAAAACCCAGTTTAGTACCCCCTGTTTGGCTACACACTTAAAGATAAGTTTATGTGCATATTTTTATTCTTAGGTTGTCATCTTCTGTGCCAACCTCCCAGCATCCATGATGGCTTTAATGGTTAATAGCCTGTGTGGATTTCTGGCTTCTCTTGGCCTTCCTTCCAGGAAAAGAATACTCCTTTCACTTTAGGTATGCTGTAACAAATTACTTGAGACTTTTCTGGCTAAGGAAAACAAGAATCTACTTTATGTTCTCCCAGTATAGTATAGTAGGGAATGACACAGGCTTTTGTTTGCACTCTTCTTTGTAGTCCAGACAGATGATCTACTAGCTTCTGTCCAAAAGGTGCTGCTTTATTTTCATTGCTCTGGTCCCTTGTTCCAAGTAGGGGGAGCTGATCTTTGGTGCTTGGTAAAGTTTTTGAATTTTGTTTGAATCACTTGTTAGAGATTGAATCACTTGGTAAAGTTTTTTAATTATGTATGAAACACTAAGGAATACAGTAGTAAAAATAGTCCTGAGCTCAGAATTTAACCTTTTCACGATGCTTGTGTT